GGGACGTAGGGTCCCTAATTCTACTCTTCTTCCTCCTCCCTCTCCAGGCTCTCTCTCACACTCCCTGTGTTATTCCTACCTGCTACTCTCAGAGCCCAGTCAGGGACCATCTCAGTCCTTCATTAAGGGCTACTTGGATGACCAACCCATCGCTCGCTTTGACAGCCTCACCAGGAAGATGGAGCCTTTGGTGCCCTGGATGGAGGAGGTGGGAAACCAGACCTTTCTGGCCCCTGAGTGGGTCTTCAGGAATGACCTGGAGAAGTTATCGAAACGGGACCACCATGCTGGAGGTGAGCAGAGGCAGTGGCATCTTTGGCCTCCAATGCATGCACGGGATGTAATGGTGAGATTTTATTTCCAGCAAAGACACAAACACACGCACAAACTCAATTTTATCCCTCACCTAGAAATTCTTCATGGTCTGGCTCCACCCAAATTAGGCTCTCTGACCACTAAAAAGTTGTTCCTTGCAGGAGAAAGAGGGGAAGGAGAAATTGGCCAGATAAGGGCAAGACTTCTTGCCTGAGACTTCTTAATAGCCTGTGGAATGGGACAACGTGCCACAATCAACTTGCTGTGGCCAACTCTTCATGGCCAACTCTCTGCGGCCAACTCTCTGTGGTCAACTCTCTGTAGCCAACTCTCTGTGGCTAACTCTTCATGGTCAACTCTCCCTGGCCCACTTTCCACCATGGCCAACTCTCCACAGTCAACTCTCTGTGGCCAACTCTCCACGGTTAACTCTCCATGGCCAACTCTCCGTGGCCAACTCTCTGTGGTCAACTCTCCACGGTCAACTCTCTGTAGCCAACTCTCTGTGGCTAACTCTTCATGGTCAACTCTCCATAGCCAACTCTCCACCATGGCCACCTCTCTGCAGCCAACTCTCTGTAGTCAACTCTCCCTGGCCCACTCTCCACCATGGCCAACTCTCCGTGACCAACTCTGTGTGGCCAACTCTCCATGGTTAACTCTCCGCGGCCAACTTGCGGTGGCCAATTCTCCACAATGTCCAACTCTCCGTGGCCAACTCTCCATGGCCAAATCATCACAGCCAATTTGCTGCGGGACAACTCACCACAGGACAATTTATCCATTCAATTGTTTAAAATAAATAAAAAATTGTTTTAATTTTTGTCATTCAAATTTCATTTTGTCCTTCCTTTTGCATCCTTTCTTTAATTATTCTATTCGAGCATTTCTTTGATATTAGGGTAACTCTTGCCCTGCAGTGAGTTGGCCCATGGCAAGTTGACCATTGGCAAGTTGACCGTGGTGAGTTGGCCATGGTGAGTTGGCCGCAGTGAATTGTCATAGACCAGGATTCTTTAAACTTGACCCTTTTATGACTTGTGACCTTGAATTCCCAGAATTTCTCAGCCTGGCATGCTGGCTGAGGAATTCTGGGAGTTGAAGTCCACAAGTCATAAAAGGGCCAGATTTGAAGACCCCTGTCATAGACCCTTCTTTCTGGACTCTTCTCACCCACCATTCTCTGGATCTCCTTCAGGTCTTCAGGCAATTTTGGGCTGTGAACTCAAGGAAGAAGGGAGCAAAAGAGGGTTTTTGCACTATGGCTACAACAGGTGGGACTTCAGCAGCTTAGAGAAAGAGACCCTCAGATGGGGGGCAGCTCATCCCCAGGCCGAGAAGGCCAAGGAGAAGTTGGAGGATGATCCAGGATGGTCGGAGAAAGTGAAAGTCTTCCTGGAGGAGACCTGCATTGAGAGGCTGCAGAGATACCTGTCTCACGGGAAGGAGGCTCTGGAGAGGACAGGTGAGTGGCAAAGGGGGGGGTCTTCATTGAATACGCTTCTATAGGCTCCCCCTCTCTATATTATTTCTACCCTACATAGCCAAGCCACCCTTTGCAGAAAAGAGTCAGGCAGTATCCCACCTCACATTATAGAATGAAAATAATCTTCAATGCCCCCCTCAATAAGTACTTCAAAGGCAGAGAAACTAATGGAGTAAGAAATTAATGCTGAATGTCTCATTCTACTTCAGTGAGAAAATCTCACAAAATGAAAGAAACTTAATATTGGGTCAGAATGCAAAGATCAGTTTTGTTGCTGATTTCTATGTGGAACAATTTGAGCAAGTTCAGTTGGGAATCATGCGTCGCATGAGAAAAGCACATCTTCCTTCCCCTGTCCTGACCACTTTCTACAGAGGGACGATCGAGAGCATCCTGTCATATAGCATCACAGTCTGGTTTGGAAGCATCACTGCTTCAGACAGGAAGGTGGTGCAGAGAGTGGTGAGGACAGCAGAAAAGATGATTGGCAGTTCCCTCCCTTCCATCCAGGACATAGCACAGAAGCATTGCTTGAGGAGGGTCCGCAAGATTGTTTGGGACACTACACATCCTCTCCACCACCTGTTTTCCTTGTTACCTTCTGGGAGGAGGGGGCTCCATGGTATCCGAAGCAGAACATCCAGATTCAGTCACAGTTTTGTGGCATACAATATTAACCTTGTGAACTCTAAAGCTTCCTCCTTCTGTTATGTATTCAAGATGGACAGTGAATAATATTTATATGTTACTTATATATAAGGGTGTAGGTATATACATATATAGAATGTTTTAAATGTGTGTTAGGTATGTGTACACTGGGCGCTATCTAACAAAATGAAATTCAATGGTGAAAAAAGTAAGGTTCTACATTTAGGCAAGAAAAACCAAATGTACAGGTATAGTATAGGGGGTACCTTGCTCAATAGTAGTAACTGTGAGAGGGACCTCGGAGTCCTAGTGGACAATCACCTAAATATGAGCCAGCAGTGTGCTGCAGCTGCCAAAAAGGCC